GGGGGGCAGCCGGTGCAGTGACAAGTGAGCCCGGAGAATGAAAGATTTATGTGGGGCTGCCCTGACAGGCAATCATGGGGCTGCCCTGGGGGACCCAGTGTGCAGACCCAGTGTGCAGCAGCTTCACACTGCAGGTAGAGAGAGAGACTGCGGCTCTGTGACAAGGTGAGTGATTCATGTTTTTTTTTTTCTCGGTCTCCCACGTGCTTCCTCCGGCCGTGTAAACTGACACCAGCCAGGAGGACAGTGTCAGACGGCTGAGGAGATTATCTGCCATTCCAGAAAACAGAATAGCTGAATTTAAACGTTTCAACTATTCTGTGTTCTATTACAAAAACACCATTTAGTTCAGGGTTGGGTTCAGCAGGTATCAACTGAAGAGTTTATATGAGGACCGGGACCAAACGGCTTAGTAGTTTGACAGCCTCATATCATACAGGGAACTACAAGTTCCAGCATGTCCTCATTGTCCCTGTACTGTCCCCCATATCTCAGTTCCCTGAGTGATATTTAGGGGACGTACAGGGACAATGAGGGCATGCTGGAACATGTAGTTCCCTGGGTAATATTTTGGGAGGGTATACAGGGACAATGAGGGTATGCTATGACTTGTAGTTCAATTACGACAAGTCCTAGCATGCTCTTATTGTACCTGTACACCTCCACATATCACGGGGGGGTGAGGTGGGCACAAAATTTTGTTCTGCCCCAGGCACCCGCTACTCTGGTTACGCCACTGGTGTGTGCAGGGCATCGCATTCACATGCATCGCATCATTCGCTTGCATCACCTCACTTTTTGGCCGGGCAGGAGGGTGCCTGGCGGACCATTGAAGTGAATGGTTTACTGGACGAAATTCATTAGCGGTAGTCTGTACGCATTTTCGTTTGTGGACGAATTTTCATTGCAGCAAAATGACAATTACATTTTTTTTTTTTTAATGTCACTTTGCTGCAATGAAACGAACGATACGAACATGAAATGGAAATGAACATTCGTACAGACTGCCGCTAACTAATTTTATCCAAATCCCAAAAAACTAAATAACGCAAAATCCAAATCAAAACAAGATGAAACTAAAAATGTTTTTGCCGGTGCACATGTCTAGTGTCCAGCGGGTCACGAAGCCCTGCGTCCAGCGGGTACTGTGAGTGTGGGGGGGACATTAGAGTGTAAGCTCCTCTGTACAGAGACTGATGTTACTGTGGGGGGGGG